GTGTAGCAAGAGTCGACCCTTGTCGGAGTTCAGCGACGATCTAGTCGACTCGTCGATGGATTATACCACGATTTCCGTGATTCAGCCGACCGATGAATCCTGTCAGAAGTCGTCAACCAAGTACGCCGTCGACAGCGACGTCGTGGACATGGTCGTTTCGGCAACTTCGTCGTCCAGTAGCTGCGAACAACGAAACTGCAGAGGCGACTTCGCCACGTCCACGCCGTCCAAAGACTGGATGAAATCCACCGGCGACGCGTTGCAGCAGAGTTGCATTTCCTGTTTGCCGCAAGATCTTCCAACGGAGCTGCAGTTGTCTTCGCCCCGGAGTTACAGGGAGCGAGAAAAGTGCCGTGATCCATGGCGACCCACCGAAATGGAAAGCAATATCTGCAACCTGAATGTGTGTCCTGGTGATACGTATCAGGATACCGGCACGAAAAGGAGGACAGGAGCTTCCTGCCAGGCGTTGAGGCATGCGGTTGCCTCGTTGAACCGATTGGATGACTTTTACATGGAGAAGATCGGCGCGGGATTCTTTTCGGAAGTCTTCAAGGTAGGGTTGCATCTTTTTCCTACTTTGTCCCTTTCGTCGTCGAACTCGCTGACCCTTCACCTGTACACTCACCGCGACGAGATAACTCGTCCAATTGGTACTTCTCCCTTGTCGTTCGTAACTTATTTACATTAGTCCGTATATTATACAGGATGGTCCATCTAACGGGGTAGTTCCTTAGACCTTTTCAAAGTCGCGGAAGACTGAAATTCCCAAGGGAATAAATCTCACAGCAGAAATAAACCTGCTCGCATTCTGTATTAAAAGTAATACGTGCATTACAGATTACGCAATAGTAAACAATCGGTAATTAAGAGAAGTAACTGGTAGCAACAAATCGCACTCGCGTTCTTTCTATGGCGTTTCTTGCGATCTTTTATAATTTCGCGGGAAACCGGTTAAGAACTAGCGATCTAGACGCGACTGCTTCGAAGCTTCGATCGTCTAGTCATTCGAGGAGCGATAACAAATTATTTGGCTGTAAACGATAGGACGCGAGATGCTACTTGATTTTTGTCCGATTAATCGCGTTACCAAAGACAGAAACGATTAACTGGCTGGTGACAGAAACGATCGGTGATCACGTTTCGTGGGTAAGCCACCTTGTGTGCTATTTATATTTCCGAAATAAATTTCTGGCTTCGTTGATCTTCCATTTCTCGTCGAAACAAAACGATTGTTCGTTTAACGAGTGGCTCGACTAATAAGTCAGCCGATATCGCGAGCTTGAGTTTTAATCGGTATTTGATATCAGCTCTGTCGACCTGTAGTGAGATAGTTAAATATACTATAGACAAATGATAATAATCGCGGAGACATGATAAAGATAAATAGATTATTTATAATCGCGTTACTATCTAAAGGAAACTCGGTATTAATTTTATCAGAAGTACCTATACGTTTCGAGTAATTGCAGAAATATGTAAAGTACCTGAAACTAGTCGTCCGGACTCGTTTGTTAATTCGAACGTTAATTTTGAATTTCATTTTTAATCGCAGAATTATCGAATTATCATCCGCGATGCAAGTATATCAATTGGCCAATTAATGCTAGAATGACAGAGAATTTGCAACGATTCCGGCGAGGCATAATTCGAAAGGAAAAAGGTGGATACAAAATGAAGCAGTCAAATTGAACGGCGCGCGTTTAAATTTTAAATTGCAATTTGCGCTCGAGCAAGCAGCCGACGAAATCGAGGAAAGCAAAAAGGAATCGCGGATGAGCCGTTCGACGCGTTTCTGATCCCCGGTCGCGTTTCGTAATTAAACTATTATCGCGAGCGTTATAGTTGGTTCGGAGCGATATCCTTTGCTCGTTTCTCGCCGAGGAATTTGCAATTAGGATACGAATAGTAACTAGGCATAACGATTAGGAAAGTTTTCTCTTCGATATAACACTGTTTTGCGATATTTTTCCTACTTTTCATTTTCTTTTTCTCTCTTTTTTAATACATTATGTATCACGTATATTAGTCGCTCGGCTCGCAATGCCGTGCGGTGTTATCTCGGCAGATTAACATCGGCGGCGATTAGATACGAATGCGTGCAGCAATTCCAAGGCATTCTCGTAAAATTAATTCTCCTCGTAATCACGTGATTACTCGCTGGTAATGAGCGATCAAATGTTTTTTCCTCCACGATCAACAGCCATAGCTGAATTTCATTTCTCCCGATTCCGTTTGTAAACAATTCCTCGTGTCCCGAGACCAGAGATCGCGCATCACCTTCGAAAGTACGAATTCTTTGCCTGTTATATATGTATGTAGATATAATATGTAATATTCGATAATATAATATCTGTGATATCTACTATAATATTCGATACTATGACTATCGTTACCCAACGTCTGATATTCGCAGAGTACTATCGCGATGTATTATTGATGACTATAGTCACTCAATGACTGACACTCGCAATGCAATGTCGGTGACTATGGTCACCCAACGCGTGACGTTTGCACTGTGCTATCAGTGACTATAACCACTCAATGACTGTTACTTGCGGTGCACCATCGGTGACTATAGCCACCCAAGGACTGATATCGGTGACTATAGTCTCCCTATGAATGGCACTCGCGGTGCACCATCGGTGACTATAGCCACCCAAGGACTGATATCGGTGACTATAGTCTCCCTATGAATGGCACTCGCGGTGCACCATCGGTGACTATGGTCACCCAAGGACTGATATCGGTGACTATAGTCACCCAAGGACTGATATCGGTGACTATAGTCTCCCTATGAATGGCACTCGCGGTGCACCATCGGTGACTATAGCCACCCAAGGACTGATATCGGTGACTATAGTCTGCCTATGAATGGCACTCGCGGTGTACCATCGGTGACTATAGTCACCCAAAGTTTGACACTTCCGGCGTACTGTCAGTGACTACAGTAGTCACCCAACGTTTGACGTTCGCGGTGTAGTAGCAACAGTCGCTAAAATTTCCTATTAACTCACAACTCTGATACATCAGAGTACGAGAATGCGCGGTCGTGAAGGGGTGAGTTATTAGCCATAAATTCTACTCGCGTCAAGTGTACTCTCTCGTCTACTCGAATCCTTTTCGACGTCCATCTTTTCCCTTTCCATTTTCAAACACCCATAGAAAGTATCCGAAAAGCCGTTGGGTGGCAAATTAATAACGCCATGTCGAAGCGGTAGGATAAATTGTCACTGGGATAACGGTGCCCACTCGGAGAAAATGGCAATTAACAGCATAGAAAGCTTCCCGTATATGGTACAACCAATAATCAATGCCAAAGGCAATTTAACTAAGTGCCATACCGTGTTTTTTCACATGCGTTATTCATCCATCCAGCAGTTAGACGATTAAATTTAATTCGATTTGAAATTAAAGAAAAAGTCTCGGGATTGCCAGTCAGCCGTATATTTTCACGCAGCCTCGTATATTTTCACACAGTGCAGCGTCTTCGAATCAATCCTTCTCGATTCGATACGATCTTCCGTTCCGATCCAATCTTTTTACCTTCTTACCTTCTAACGAAACGTTATGACATAACCATACTCGGAATCGTGACCATATTTACGTAAATCACGCTCTTAAAAAATCATCTACTTGTATCTATGTTGGTCAGGGCTGGCTGCAGCTCGTCGACTCTTTACGCACCTAGAGCATCGGACACGAGCGTTTCGTATTCATCCTACGGAGCACATGCCTCGCATAACGTCTCGTTGCTTTCGTGACAGATTATTTATTCCTGTTATGGAACTTTTTACGCACGACGGAACGTTACATCGTTTAAATAGCCTAACGGCATCCGAGGAATGACGCGCAACCTTTTTGCACTTGCGCTTAATATTCGAATTTCCTACTTTGCTCTCCTTTACGCTCCACGACGTTACGCAACGGCCATCGCGGAGCGGAAATGTCGCGCGAAATTTTGAAAAGTTTCACCAACCAACTGCACCAATGGTCACGAAGGTTCGAGATCCACGAGAATTCAATTGCCAAACCGAAGTTTCACATTTATTTTAATCTAAATAACAAAATAGAATTTTCTAAAAAATTCTTCGTACTTTTTAATTCGCATAATCATCGAGAAAACGATAAATGACGTTGACGATAAGTGCACGCTGCGTTACGAGAAAATTCACCTAATCAGGACTCGTTGCACGGTATCATAGGACATTGATTGACTCTCGAGTGTTCTGTTTCCCATCAAATGTTTCGCATTACTATTTTAGGAATCAAAGCACTCGTACTTTTAGGCTCGATTGACTTTACGAGCTAGATCTCTCTGCTGAACTTTGTCGCGTTATTTGAAATTCGCGCCATCGAGTATCCCCTCCTCTTTTCGACGCAAATTGAAATCGCTCATTTTACTATTTGCCGTCGCAGACCAGAAATTACGCGCTGCAACTAGTTCCAAGCGTGGAATACTTCAGCGCCGCCATTTTGGTACCAATCGGGTCCGGCGATTAATACGATAATTGTCCACTCGTTTCGTATCACTCGTGCCTACTGTACTCGCGATATAGTACTTCGATCATACACCGTATAGTCGACTCGTATCCGAAAGGTATCACGGACGCATCGGAGAGCTGAGAAGTAGGTTTCTGCCGACGCGTACGCAGATACGATGTTCTGGAAGGATGCTATAAGTCACAATTTCCTTCTACTCTGCAACCACTTCCTCTATTGCGCGTTCCTTAGCCTCTACCTTCTCCGCTGCACTGTTAACCGGTGCTTTTCTTATCCGCGCATCTAGCACCGTCGCTTCGCCTCCGCTTCTCTCCCAGTCCTCTTTTCCACGCGACCAAGATATACCCTGGCAGCGTTCTAGAGTGCACGCGTAACTCCTCGCATCGTGGCCTATCGCATAGGCGATCGATGGAAAGTCGGTCCACTTCCGGCGGAGCGAAGGAGATTTGCCCGGTCGAGCCGAGGATGACCGCGTGGTCGGAGCAGTGTCATCGGCAGCTATCGAACCGAGCCGAGAACCTTGACGCGCGGCGTCGTTCCTCGTCGTCGGTTAGGTGCGATATAAATAGGTCAACAGGAAATTGAGTACGGCCCGTGGAGTGACGACGGCGATTCCTCCGACGTATCGCGAGCATTCTGTTCAAAAATAAATCCACCGCGTTCCTCGGCGTTCTGGAGGGTCCTTGCGATTTGTACCGTAGGTCAAAGTCTTCTGAACCCGTTCCGCGTCGAGTTCCAACATCTCGAGCTATCGGTTGTCGCCGGCTACTTTCCATTCGTCAATTTACTTAGCGAATTTTGAATAATCCGTGTCGACGATATCGTCACCGCTGATTACTTTCCCAAAAGTGTGCCGTGGATATGAAAACTTATCGGGTCGTCGTACCTCTCTCTCTGCTGCCGTGAATTAGTGCCGGTGTTCGAGGTCGTGTCCTTGGAGCGTCGTTACGCGAGATCCAACGCGAGTCAATTTGCGCGAAAGTTCCAGCTCGGTGAAAGTCACGAAAGTCGATCGAAGAAATGGGGAAAAAATTGGAAGGTCCTGATCACGCG